GCCTCGCTCCGTTCCCACGGCTCTCGGCCCCGCCCCCACTCGTCACATTTAACAATAACTGTTTTCTATTTAATATGTTTTACAATGTAATTTATTTCTGTGATAGCAAAGCTGAATTTTCAGCAGCCATTAGTATTCAGTCTCACTTGATTTTTCAGAAACCATTCTAATATGCTGATTTGGTCGGTCAAGAAACATTTCTTATTATTATGAATGCTGAAAACAGTTATGCTGCTTTAATACTTTTTTGTGGAAGCCGTGATAAATTTTTTCCCAGGATTTTTTGATGATAGAAAGCTCAAAAGAGCAGCATTTACTTAAAAAACAGCCGTACTCATAGCCGTACAAGCCATAAGTCATTATGGCACTCTCACACACTTACATTCTCCTTTCAAAAAAATATATTCTTGCTTTCACAAACTTACATTCTCCTTTCACATACATACATTTCTACTCTCACACACGCATACATTCTCCTTTCACATGCATATATACTTGCTTTCACACACTTACATTCTCCTTTCACATGCATACATTTCTACTCTCACACACATACATTCTCCTTTCACACACACATATATACTGTATATATATATATATATAGGTCCTGATCAGTATGGCTGAGGTAGATGAGGCGGCCGCAGAAGTATTTCAGCAAGCTATGTGGGTTTAAAAAAATAAAAAATAAATAGATCATCGTGAAAAGGTTACATTGCCTCGTCCCTTGAGCGAGTTGTGATTGAGGATGCGGGCTCAGCCTCAGTCGTGTTGCCAGATACACGTATTATAAGTGTCTATGGATTTTTTTTTTTCACTTAATTTAGGAAGTGAATAAAGTGGGAGGTTGCAAGTTAGGGACAGCGATATCTTTATATTATTTCCATAACTCAAGATTTGGACTAATTTATTTATTTTTAGATTATTTTGTTTGGTTTTAATACCTGGCAACGCCGTCATTTAAACTGACAGTAATCAAAAACGACCAGGTTAAAAACAGCGCGGGCAGGTTATTCCTGACAGGATGCAATTTGGTAACACAAACGAAATGATCATCATGATATATTATCTGTAAGACAGATACACTGAAGACGGACACAAAGAGGAGAGAATCGTCGCGCAAGCAGAGAAAATGCTGTACTAGACAGAACAAATTCATTGTTTGCGATGCTCGAAATACTGAAAGAAAACCATAATTATGGAATTAGGGTGGGGGTTAATATGGATATATTTCTGAGGAGAACTGACTGTCTTCAGAAAAGTTTCGATGGCATTTTCTTTTTCCTTTTACCTTCGTTAATAACCCAGCAATACAGCAATAACTCAGGAAACGCTGCTAGTGTTCTATAAGCGCCACCTGCTGTCAGAGATTGAATTTGCATTTTCATCAGAATCAGAAAGAGCTTTATTGCCAAGTGTGTTTACACACAAGGAATTCGTCTTGGTGTCAGGAGCTTCCAGTACAGAAAGTAGCCTACAGTCATAGTGCAGACATACATATAATTAAGGTAATAAAACACTAATAATAATAAAGAGTAATAATAAAATATTCATTCAGCCCGTCTGATGTTTTTGTTTTGTGCAGTTGCTTCATGTTGTATATATTTTTGTTTGTTTGTTTGTTCAAGGTTAGTTTGGCCAGTAACAGAGCAAAATAAACATTTAATAAATGTAAAAATAAATAAATAAAAGTAATAAAAACTAAATAAATTGGCAACGAGTATGGGAATCGGCTCATTTGATTGTATAAAAAAAAATCAGCAATTGGAATCGGTCATGAAAAAAAAAATGTGAAAGGAGAATGTATGTGTGCGAGAGAGAGTAGAAATGTATGTATGTGAATGGAGAATGCAAGTGTGTGACAGTAGAAATGCATATGTGTGAGAGTACAAATGCATGTATGTGAAAGGAAAATATATGTGTGTGAGAGAACAAATGCATGTATGTGAAAGGAGAATGTATGTGTGTGAGAGCAGAAATGTGTGTATGTGTAAGGAGAATGTATGTGTGTGTGAGAGAGAGTAGAAATGCATGTATGTGAAAGGAGAATGTAAGTGTGTGACAGTAGAAATGCATGTATGTGAAAGAAGAAAGTAAGTGTGTGACAGTAGAAATGCATGTATGTGAAAGAAGAAAGTAAGCGTGTGACAGTAGAAATGCATGTATGTGAAAGAAGAAAGTAAGCGTGTGACAGTAGAAATGCATGTATGTGAAAGAAGAAAGTAAGCGTGTGACAGTAGAAATGCATGTATGTGAAAGAAGAAAGTAAGCGTGTGACAGTAGAAATGCATGTATGTGAAAGAAGAAAGTAAGCGTGTGACAGTAGAAATGCATGTATGTGAAAGAAGAAAGTAAGCGTGTGACAGTAGAAATGCATGTATGTGAAAGAAGAAAGTAAGCGTGTGACAGTAGAAATGCATGTATGTGAAAGAAGAAAGTAAGCGTGTGACAGTAGAAATGCATGTATGTGAAAGAAGAAAGTAAGCGTGTGACAATATATATATTTTTTTTTTCTTTCTTTTTTTAGGTTTCTTCACCTCAATGAATTCTCCACTTCTTGTGGTATTTTAGAAATCATTTCCCCTCAATATCATTTACCTTTTAGCTCTGTTGTCCAGTCATACAGGTGTCATGTGAGACACTTAAAGGGGTCATCGGATGCCCATTTTCCACAAGTTAATATGATTCTTTAGGGTCTTAATGAAAAGTCTATAACATACTTTGGTTAAAATTTCTCAATGGTAGCGTAAAAAAACACCTTTTTTTACCCTGTCAAAATCAGCTCTTTTTTCAGCAAGCCATTCTAGTCCATGTTGCTTTAAATGCTAATGAGCTCTGCTCACCCCCCCCCTCTTCCGTGGGGTGACGAGCAGACTGTAAACTTCAGCTGCGAAACTT